GCAGCCCTCTGCCATGTAATAACATAGATATTTGTGAGATGGCAGCATGTGCAGGCTTGGAAAGCTGATCGGGCATTGAAGAACACAAATGTGTTCATGTTAAAATTAAGTCAATTTGTGTTCTGCTGTTCAAGTGGTTTACTGCTTCTGTCACAAGAATATAGAGGATAGTTGAAAAGGTAGGCGAGAAGAGAACTCAACAGAAATAAATTCTAAAATCCACTGAATCTAAACTTCAGATTAAATGGCAGCAACTGACCTGAGGGGAAAAAAAAGGTTCAGTTCAAGGTAAAGATGCTGGGTAGGATAATTGCAGTGTACATGGTGAACAGGAAGTAGCTGATACCCATTACTAGTGTCTGTTTTTATTATGAAATTAGAACTTCAAACCAATGTAAAAATACAGTTTTTCTGCTAAAACATGCTTCTGGTTTGGGAAAATATAAGGTGCATTTGAAACACATAGGCTGGTCTTCAGAAAGATATGTGTTTATCTATGTGTTAGGAATGGACGTTTTTGTGTACTTTGCCACAGGAAACATTTACCATTGTAAGTTTCCTTTCCTAAAACTGCTTCAGTAAAATTTTGATTTCTTGCAGCTTTAAATAGGTGACTGGTGCATGGGGTCTTCTGGGCTGATTGCTGCTAATAAAGAAAAAGGAAACCCTGGGCCAGATTCAATGTTTGAAAACTGTTTTAAACTTCTGTTTCTAATATCTTTGCAATAACTTATATGTCTTAAATTGTAGCAAAACTATGAAGTATTGGCTCACTTTTTCCTGGAATAATGTACTCCTAGTAAGTCTTCATTTTTGTTTGTTTCTGGAAAGGCGGCATACTTCTATTAGGTCATTTATAATGGTGTTTTATTTCTTAGTGTTTCTTGATGTTGCTAAGTTATCTTGTTTACTTTTTTGCCTTGATTTTTTTAGTTTTTCCCCCCATAAGTGGTGTTAAGTTAGTGCTGTTGCCTGGATGGAAGTATCTAGATATGACTCAGAATGACTCAACTATTGTGTAAGCTATTTTCTACATATCAAAATACCAGTAGCGTTACCTGGTGTTTTGATATCAAAGCTGATTATTTTAATAACTTGGAATAATATATAATTAATTGGCTGGCATGGAATTGAGGTAGAAGGGAGTTGGGTTAAATAGTGTGCTGCAGGTAAGGATCACACAGTACTGCAATTCTTGGTTTTTACCAGAATTGGGAGGAGTTTTATAGTGGCAAAGTGAATTGAGCAGTATGTGCGCTACAGGTAAGCTAAAACTTTTGGTGTTTTATAACATCTGTGCCAACTCTTGTCATCTACAGAATTGATTTTTCTTGCATATTTTGTCTGCAGTGCTCTCTCTTACTGCTAGTCTTTACTGATAGCCTTGCAAAGGCATTATAGTTGAAGGATAAGGTGGTAAGGAGGTTTAACTTAATCTTAAGCTTGAAGCTGAATTAGGCTATATCGTTAAAAAGGAGCAAGTAGACATTTAATCTAATTTTGTATTTGTCCTCCCCTTCCCTTTCTCTCATCCATAACCTTTAGCTAAAGAAACTTTTAAGTCAGATAGTGATGTTATTTGCACAGCTTTCTTCATGGTACATGTCCAAGAAAAACTTATTTTTCTTATAAAAATTTATAGTCAACAACTAGCGATGAGCCTCAACTGTGTCAACAAACGATTTTAATTTTGGAATACGCATAGAATCAATTTAGTAATTCATGTTATATTTCAAGGAGAGCTTGCTCATGCCCAGAAAATCCCAAAGCTGTTCGTTCAACAGGAAAAAAGTCAAATACGTTCAGTTTTTGCACATAGGTGGGCATTATTATTAGAGGCATGGGCACATGCATATGGCTAAGTTTCTGTTGGTTACTTCACCATGAATGCTATTGCTTTGTCCTTTGTAGCCTGAGCTATATTGTAGTTGCTAAAATTTTATCCTGGTTTTCCTCATCTTTATGTTCCTGTGAAGTAGCTTGCATGTGGCTAAAATAGCTTGCTGTGAATTGCAAGAAAGTTAAAGCTTTAATTATGTAACCATTTTTTAAAAGCCGTAATGCCTGAAGACAGCATCTTTGCTACTTCTAGCTCATACTTTTAGGGTATTAGCAAGTCTTAATTCTTGCCTACCTTTTGGTTTGATTTTTAAGGTTTTTGATCTCTGAACCTGAGAAATGTATATTCGCTACTCACCTGGTTGAGATAATCTGTAAACCCCTGTACTTAAAACTAGCAGCTTGGAAACCCTGAATTTATTCTTTAATGCAACAGCTTCCTTGATTCTGTATGTTGCAATTTCATCCTGAGGACAATTCATATGTGTGTGTTTAAGATAACCATTTCGTAGTTCAGTGCATGTTAAACGTGAGGACAAAGCTACATTACACTTACAGCACATAATACTTTTTGGACAGATTTTTAGCAGAAGAAGGGAGGGAGTGATGACTTAGAAAAGAAAACCATTGAAAGGGGAATAAAAGCAGAGATGAGGAGAAGGCAAATTATGAAGGAAGGAGATATTAGGAATGAAGTAGAAGAAGGGGAAATAAGGCAACTAAGAAAGATGAACAAGAAAGTGCAGTAAAGGCAATGGAAGCAGATAATCAGACAGGATACGTGCCTAGCTGAGGGTTTTATTTGGCACCTGTTGTTACAGTATCTGAACACGTTCCACATATAATTAATAATGACAGTGAAGTAAATTTTGTCTAGGTGTTTCTGATACTTCTTGCTCGAGTTAGGGGGGTCTTTGGGGGTACAGGGAAGGGTGAAGTCTAGAATGAGAAGGGGATTCCTGTGCTTTATAACTCCTGTACTTACTGTAGAAGGATGCTCTGAGAAGAGTTTTGCAGCGCTGCAGATTCTGGATTTCCATTTTTATTTTATTGCGTGTCATGTCTGTCGTCGTACGCCCCCACCTCCCAGGTCTTTTGTAGGTAGCTATTTTGCACTGTCAGGACTCTGTGTGTAAGTCTTTCTTGGTGACTCTTTCCTTTACATTGACATTTCTTCAGAATATTGTGTGTGTTAGAGTTATTCACAGATTGCTCCTTGGTCTTAACACTGCAGGGAAATAATCTATTATTTGGGAACCCTATGGTAATATAAAGGCAACAAGCAAAAGGGAAAAGAGAAGGATGAATAACAAAAGTTTAAACCTTTTGCAAAATCTTATAAATTATGGAGTAGACTTAGATATCATTTAAAATCTATAATACTTCAGGCAAATATTTTAAAGTTATTTTGAAAATTATGTGTAACATAGATTGTGGGACTGCATGGATGTGTATTAATGGACATGACTGTACAGTTCTTGTGGCGAAATATGTTAGCTATGTTCTGGCAGCTTGCTTTCGAAAATTAAGTGGCTTTACTTCTAAAGTGAGACTATCTCAAATGGCATATTTTGCCAGAGTTTTCCTGTGGTGGTCTAGTATCTGTCCTCTCTGCTGGCACAGTACCCAGCCCTGAGGTACTGTTGTCCATGAACAGAGTCTGTGTGCTCTTCTAAGAACAAGTAGGAAGCCTGAATTTAAATTCGATCTGTTTTATAGGTATTTAGTATACACGTCACATGAAAGTATCTTACTTTTCCCCCATCTGTAAGCCACTTGCTTTGACCTTTCAGATGGGAAACAGTGAAAGTGACAGAAGAATGTATTAGAGGTTACTCAGTTTCATTAGAGGTTAAAATGGCAGCAGCCACTGCCTCAGGCTTCTTAGGTTGCATTGATAATGACATTTCATCTTCAACCAAAAGACAGTAAACTCATATAGTGCAGTGAAGTTGAGTTTTACAGTGCTTTCACTAAAATTGTATTGTTTTCCTTGATAATCCCAGATGTGGCATTCCCACACTGTAGTGATCCAGTTCCAAAGTGGATGGAGTGGAATTTTCTGTAAGGAGAAAAAAAAAAAAAAAGTTGAAAGCCCCTTAGCATCTTTCCTCAGCTCCCCAGGGGCAGACCTTTTTCCTATGTAACTTTATATTGCAAGGTGGCTCCTTCAGAGCATATTCTTAATGTCCCTTCAATTTCTTCTGTGTTACAATATTCTGTTGTACTTTTCTTATAATGGTCTGGGGTAAATTATAAACACAGCTGTTTTTGGAAATACAAAGCTTGGACATGGTTTCAGGTTTAGGGCTACCAAACTCAGAGATGACTTGTCTGACTATTTTGGGTTTGCCAGGGTATGACCCCGAACGTGATAGCATTATAACAATGTGGCGTAAGAGAAGCCTTGTTATTACAGCAGATAGATTAGTAGAAGCCAGAAGAAATTTTACTTTTTTCTAGTGTTATCTTAGCCCTATAATTCACCTGCTACTTTTGCAAGCTTTGTTTGGCAATCCTACAGGTTCTAGTACCCATCCCTGAGGTGATCTGCTGGCCACAAACAGAGTCTGTGTGCTCTACTAAGGAATTGAAATTTAGGCTTTCTAATTGTTCTACCTGTTTTATAGATATCTAGTATACTAGTCATAGGCTCTGCCTTGTCTTTTGGAACACTTGGGCTCTAACCTGCTGCTAACTGCCATATTGATCAAAGAATGAAGCAAGAAGCAAATTATTTTGTGATTAGTATTGTTGTTGGAGTTTTTACTTAATTTTATAAGCCATAAAGAGTGTTGTGTATTAACATCTATGCTATCAAGACTAGAATATACTAGTAATTTTGTAAATCTGGGATGTAGTACTTGGAGAGTAAGTAAAGATTGTTGGTGGTGAGAGAAGCTAAAATGATTTGGTTAGCATTGGTACCAGGAGGTGGAAACACATGAACTAATGAATAGAGCAAGAATGTCACATCAGCACAACGTGGCTGAGAATTTCAAAGGGGACAGTTTTTTAATTTTAATTCTAAAAATCTGTGTATTCCCTCCTTTCTCCCAGTTGAAATGCATTAAAGAAAAGCTTTCCATTCAAGTTAGTACTTGAGTTGTTGATAGATGACCTTGAGTGCAGTATTGCTTAATGTTCTCTTTTTTTTACAGAAAGATCCAGATTACCTGAAGCTCTGGTTGGATAGTTTCGTTTCTAGCTATGAACAGTTTCTGGATGTGGACTTTGAGAAGATGCCAACTAGGTACGTAGACCTGTTCATCTCTGTTTGATATCTGAAACAGACCTGGCTGAGAGCCCAGTCTTGTTCAACGGCAATACTGCTGTTAAACAAAAGAAAGATTTCTAGTTGTTGAGTGGCACTCCCATTCTTTTGGAGGTCAAGTTGGGTTGGGAATGAGGAAACTAGGCAAATACTGGTGTTTGCATTATTTCAGGAGATGGCGTGAGTATTCACTTGTTCTGGCTCATAGAAATATAATTATTCCTTGTGCATTTTTTAAATAAGTATTCATTAAATGTTGCATATGAAATAGTATTAGTCAGTATTAGTGCTTGGTATCTGTATCAGCAGATGTAGAGAAGAGAAGAAAGATGTAGGTAAAGAGTTTTGGAATTTCAGGGGTTGCTTTAAGATTAAAGGTGAGATGAAATGCTTAATGAAAGATTTGGATATCTTAACTGAAAATATTTTAAAAATTAAAATATGCACAAATGATGATAGACTTTAAAGTGATTTCTTTGCATCTGTGAAGACTTCAGGGAAAAAGTATTGCTGATTTCACTCACGTTGCTGACCACAAGTTCTCAGTACAATCATGAGATGGTATTGTAGTCTAATTTCGGAGTTCCGTATTTAGTGTTTTGAATTTGTCTGCTGTGTTCCAAGGATTGTGTTTTCCAAGACTAACTTCACAAATGAGGAATAGAAACTCAGGCACTGGATGTTTTCTCTTGTTTTTGAGGTGTTTACAGGAACTAAGGGTTTTAAGAAAAAACAAATGTTATAGATTGAGAAATCATGAGAAGTGGTATCAGTATTATAGCTGATACTGCTACTGGTGTTTGAATGCAGAGAATGGCTCTCCTTGTATGATGGCTGCAGTCCAAGCCCTGTTGAAATTAATGGAAATTCTTTAATGGGCTTTGGATTAGATCCTATTTGAAGTGTAAGTGATAGCCTCTCCTGTTACAATGAAATGAAGAATGCTGCAACTCTATCTCAGTTGATAAAAACTGGGCTTCTTTGCTCTTTGTATTAAAATTTTCCTCATAATGCCTATATGAATGCCAAATATGTAGTACAATTGCTAATAAGCAAGATCTTCAAATTAATTCTGTGCTCTTTCAGAAGATCTGTTTTCTTTGCAGTATCAAAAATGCATCTACTGTGTTAAGTTTAAAAAAGTTTATCCTTTGACACAGGTTATCTTTAATGTACTATTTAATATTGAAATTTGAACAGTGGAAGAGAAGAATATCACGGAACTTCGGGTTTTTAAAGGTTTTTTTGGTTTATGTGTGTTCATGGTTTTTTGTTTTCTCTAGTTTTTTAACAGCAATGAAACAAAAAATAAAATGTGAAGCTTACTTGTGCAGAACAACAGCAGCCTCTTCATTGTGCTAAATGATGGTTTTGTGAGCATAAAAATAGTGGGTTTTTTCTGAGGTTAATGACAGGATTAGTGATTTAGTCTGGAAAAATAGGCCCATGTGGATTTAGACTCATTTGTGTAACAGACGTAGAGAAAACGTATCAAAACAACAGGGATGAAGGCAGATCATTCCTGTGTTTTGGTGGCTGGATTAAAAATTACACTGAGAGCACATATTAGAATTAACAAAGAATTGCAATTTCTGCTTTTATTTGCATTTATGAGATAATCAGGCATGTGAAAAGTGACATCTTTCTGGGGTTTGTCAATTTATATTCCAGGCATTTACATTGTGGAGCTGGTCTACAAAAAAGTAGGTCAGTGTCAAACTACCAAATGCTATTTTCCAGTGACTCTTCTCTTGGGGCCATAGGACCCTGCGGACTCAACTTTTTTTACTGGAGTTGCTTATTAAATAACCCATTCTGTCTTTTGGTTTTGGAAATAATATATTAAGCTAGCTAAAATGAGAAACTGAGTGGACTAACACGTTGTTTTTTTCCTTATATAAATCTTGGTATGCTTTACAGCTATATGCCTAAAAGACCTTGTGTACTGAAGGGCAAGTGCCAGGAAATAATGAGAAACTGTGTAGGGAGAAGAAAGCTTATACAGATTGCTGGACAGAACTAACCTTTTGGAAGACAAGCATGAAGTTTTCTGTCGATGTAAAACGTGTTTTTTTTAGCATCCAAGAAAACATCACTGAAGAAATGTAAGAAAAAGAAACTATCAGTGTGTTTGCTATGGTTGTTTTTTTCTTTCCTGAAAGAAGAGCTCTTAATTGGCACTACCACTTCCTAATTTAACTGAGATGAGTATTTCTTCTATAAATTAAAATATTTAATTTCCTGAAATCTGCTTTGGAAATCTGAAAGATGCTACATAGTGCAGAATTAGGAAATCTCTAAATATGGAGAACGACTGTATCAAGTGGTATGATTTGATTGTGTAAGTAGAGCTTATACAGTTATGCAGCTTATAGGCTTATACAGCTTCAGTTCTATCCCCATCTTTGTGCATGTACCCTATATTTTTAAGTGAAACGGTTCATTAATAGTGTTTTCAGTGATTTTACTGAAAACATGAGGGGATTTTACCCAAAAGGTGAAAATATCTATGCTGACAGCTTTGAGCATGGAGCACAAAACATAGTGCACCTGTCTGTTCTTTCCCTAAAACACATTTATTCATCTTGTATGTATTAACTGCGAAAAGGATAAAACCTTTATCAGCTGGTGGGAGGCTTTTCCCCCCTCATTGAAAGAGAGGAATTGTCATTTGGTTTCATTAGAAACAACAAAGCCTTCTAGGGTGTTGTCATGCTCTTTTTCTGCTTTTGGTTTGCATGATCTTGAGCAAAGCACCACAGGAACCGTACTTTCTTAACGTATTGACTTCAGGCCCACATAAAAATGATGCAGGAGTCATGATAGGAATGCTGATTACATGGTTTCATGGTTGTTGAAAAGTAAAGCCTAGTTTTCTACAGCACTTTGTTCCAAAGTGCTTACCACTGGCAGAGAAGAGGTTGAAAGTCCCAGTGTGTGAGTTTGAGCTGTAGTAGGTGAATACAATTTAGAGACTAATTTAACATCCTTTCAAACACCTGAGATGGCAGTTCCTATTGCTGCATAACCATATTAATGTAATGCAAGGAAATTCTAAATAAAAAGAACCCAAATGTGTTACGGTCTTTCTCATATTTTTGAGGTAGGGTACCAGCAGTCAAATAAGAACATCGGTTAAGGTATGATTTTTTGAGATTTATTTTTTCTCTTCCTTTTGGAGTACTTAGTTTACACAGCTAGTTTGTCAGCAAAAATTGATCCTGTATGTCCACAAATTTAACTTTTAGATTTTTCTGATAATATAGTGGTAATTTGCTCTGGGGTGAAAAGAAGTTTGATTATTTATAAATATTTATATTTATTTATATACTCTGTAGTATATTCAGTTTGAATAATCCTGATTAAGTATTTCTTGTGCCAGTCTTGCATAAGGCAGTAAATTCTGATGGGTTGTGCAATAGCACAAACAGGCAACTACTGCAGAGAAAGCGTTCTTTGGGATGTGAGGCATGAAGGGTATGCTGTTTGCTCTCTTGTAAAGCATTTTATGATCTTACTGAAAAAGACTGCTGGCCATTTTAGGGAAATTACTTCTGAATATATGATTTCAGCTGTCAAAAGTTATGGTCTTCTTAACACAGAGGCGGTGAATTATCAGATTATGAGGAGCCATGCTTAGAGTCCCAGAGGGTATGGGTCTGCTGGCATCTTGAGGGGTGAAGCTGCTATCACAGGAATTACAACTTCTTTCTTGGCAGTTGTGTTGGAAAAAAGCGGTTGCTCTTGGTTTTGTGGTTAGTGTCTCTATCAGTTTAGAGCCTAGACCCTATAAAATTTTTGTTAAAACTTTCTGAATCCCTTGAGATTCTGAATGCCAGGATGTAAAAAGCACATTGGACAACTCTGAAGAGGTGTTGTGGTTTAGCCCCAGGCGGCCACTAAGCACCACGCAGTCCCTTGCTCGCCTTCCCCTCCCACAGTGGGACGGGGGAGAGATTGGGAAAAAAAAAGCTCGTGGGTTGAGATAAAAACAGTTTAACAGGACAGCAAGAGAGAAGGAAACAAGAATGGTAACAACAATAACAATACTGACAAAGGAATGTACAAGAACAAGTGATGCCCAATACAGCAATTGCTCACCACTCAGTGATTGATAGCCCGTCCCCGAGCAGTGATTCCCGCCCCCCAGCTTACTCCAGTTTATGTACTGGGCATGATGTTACATGGTAGGGAATATCTCTTTGGCCAGCCTGGGTCAGCTGTCCTGGCTGTGTCCCCTCCCAGCTTCCCGTGCATCCCCACCCTTGCTAGCAGGCCAGCACGAGAAGCTGGACTGTCCTTGACTGCTCAGCAACAGCTCAAAACATCAGCATGTTATCAACATTTTCTCATCCCAAATCCAAAACATAGCCTCACAGTAGCTTCTGTGAAGAAAACCAACTTTATCCTGACTGAAACCAGGACAGTATCCACCCCTTATTCCATACCATTTACATCATGCTCGGGTCCAACACTTTTCAATACATTCCAATTATTCATGATTACTCTTCCTGTCTTTCAATATGTACACACAGATACCATTCCTTTAGTCCCTGGGCCATCACTCTAAAATGTCTGTGGAGTTCATTCAGTCCATGACTTTGGGTTTCATCCATCATAGCAGTCTCTCAGGGCAGGGGAGATGGTATGTGGTGTTGGATTGTTACCTGGCGCGGTGCGTGGAAGATGTCAATCTTGAGGAAACTGCTGGGCGCAAGCTGCTGAAGCCAGTTCTGGTTCCATCACTGCTGCACATCGCTCGGTTTCAGTAAAGCTCATTCCTCATCAGTCTGGGTGATTCTTACTGTAATACCATTGGTATGGTAGATAGCAACCACAGTAGTAATGACGTACCGTATTGTTTAGCAATTAACATAATAGAATTCAAATCATTGACTGTTTTCACCCAAAATCAAACCTCCTTGAGGTACACATCAGTCTTCCCTATCCTTTTGCATTACTCACCAAGTGTACCCAGGTCCCTCACAATCCCACGAATGGGGTTTGCATTTGCCTGAGGCAGGAGTAACCCAGACTGTCTTCCCCAGCATATTTTTTACGTGCACCACAGGGACTTTATCCTGTTCTACAGTACATAAAGGTTTTGATTGCGCAGGGCCGGCTCTATTAGTAGATCCCCTAGTGTTGACTAACCAGGTGGCTTTTGCTAAATGTTTATCCCAATGTTTGAATGTCCCATCACCCATTGCTCTCAGTGTAGTCTTTAACAGTCTGTTGTATTGTTCAATTTTTCCAGAAGTTGGTGCATGATAGGGGATGTGATGTACCCACTCAGTGCCATGCTCTTTGGCCCAGGTGTCTATGAGGTTGTTTCGGAAATGAGTCCTGTTGTCTGACTCAATTCTCTCGGGAGTGCCATGTCGCCATAGACTTGTTTTTCAAGGCCCAGGATAGTGTTCCAGGCAGTGGCATGGGGCACAGGGTATGTTTCCAGCCATCCGGTGGTTGCTTCCACCATGGGAAGCACATAGCGCTTGCTTTGGTGAGTTTGTGGAAGTGTGATATAGTCAATTTGCCAGGCCTCCCCATATTTATATTTCAACCATCGTCCTTCATACCAGAGGGGCTTTAACTGCTTGGCTTGTTTGATCGCAGCACACGTTTCACATTCATGGATAACCTGTGCAATAACGTTCATGGTCAAGTCCACCCCTCGATCCCGAGTCCATCAGTGTGTTGCATCTCTTCCCTGATGGCCTGAGGTGTTGTGGGCCCACAGAGCTATAAATAGTTCACCCTTATGTTGCCAGTCCAGATCTACCTGAGCCACTTCAGTCTTAGCAGCCTGATCCACCTGACGGTTGTTTTGATGTTCTTCAGTGGCCTAAATCTTGGGTATGGGTGCATCTACATGACATACTTTTATGACCCGATTCTCTAATCGGGCAGCAATATGTTGCCATAATTCAGCAGCCCAGATGGGCTTGCCTCTGCGTTGTCAATTGCTTTGCTTCCATTGCTGTAGCCACCCCTGTAGAGCATTCGCCACCATCCATGAGTCAGTATAGAGTATTGGCCATTTTTCTTGTTCAGCGATACCTAAAGCCAGCTGGATGGCTTTCACCTCTGCAAACCGACTTGATTCACCTTGTCCTTCAGCAGCTTCTGTGACTCGTCATGTAGGGCTCCATGCAGCAGCTTTCCACCTTCGAGGTTTGCCTTCAATACGAGAGGACCCATCAGTCAACAGGGCATATTGCCTTTCATTTTCTGGCAGTTTGTTATATGGTGGAGCCTCTTCAGCACGTGCCACCTCCTCTTCTGACGTTATTCCAAAACCTTTGCCTTCTGGCAAAGGAAGCTCAAGCTGGCCTATTGCCACCAGGCATTTCCTTGTGGTTCATTAGAAAGTGTGTGTGAGCCATAGGTTCAGTAACCTTTCTTATTAGAGGTCTCTTGGAACACTAAGTGAGCACATTGAAATTTATTGGTAACATGTCATTTGCATGATTTAACATTTTTGTGTGTGGTTTTTCTCTTTAGGGTGGATGACATTCCTCCAGGAATATCACTGCTTCCTGATAACATTCTTCAGGTCGTCAGGCTCCAGCTCCTACAGTGTGTCCAGAAAATGTCAGACGGACTAGAAGAGCAGCAGCAGGCTCTGTCACTTTTACTTGTGAAGTTCTTTATCATCCTGTGCAGGTATTTCTTCTGATTGTTACCTCAGCAAGGCTATTGTTTGTTTTAAAAAATCTTGATGCTGCCCATGAATACAGATTCTAATGACACATACAATGTGATTTGACACTTTCCAGTAGAAACAGAGAAATGCCATGTCTCACAATCTTTAAATAAAGGAAGTGGGAATGATAGAGAGAGGATCGAGCAAGGCAATCATCTTAACAATAATGTTTGCCATAAGAAATGGAATAGAAGGGGATTAGACACTAAATTCCTTGTAATTGCATAAGATATATCTATGGTACCTGGTATAAGAAATACTTTTAAAAGAAAAGGCACACTCTAGCAAGTGTTGGATATGAAATAACTCGAGAGCAAATTGTACAGAAGAACACTTTCACATTCTTAGCATGCTTATAATTCCATAAACAGCTTAAGAAACTGACTTATTACAGTACTAATGCAACTGGCTTCCTTCTGAAACTTATGCTTTATTTTGTAATTCTCTTGAAGCAGGTGAATAAACTGTTCTTAGGGATCTATTCATCACTATTTCTTCCGTGTTCTATTGTAAACTGCATTAAGAGAGGAAGGGAATAAAATATGATATCTCCTTTTCTGAGGAGTATTTGAAGCAGCCTTTTTTTTTTTTTTTTTGAGTCCTTTGGCTCTCCTGGAATCCTGGAATATGAAATATAAGCTGAGTAGGTGGTGGTAATGTGTTTCTGAATTGCAAACTGTTGTCAGTCTTATTTAATTGCTGAAAAGTTCTCCTTACATCATCACCTCAGTGTCTGATCTTTGTGACTTGTCCTCAAGACTGAGGAATAACATGTGCATGCCATTTCTTTGTTGTTGTTGATTTATTTATATTATAAAATACTTTATTACGTGTTTGTTTTCCTTGGGAGAATTTAAAGCTAAGAAATGCTTTAATTTATTAAAGCATATGTTTGCTAAAGTTTTAGGAAGTGTATGCACTAGTAATGTGGGACAAGTAGAAATTACTGCCTTTTGTTATCAGATGCCATTTCTGAGCTTTCTATTTAGAGTGTCCTGGGAATCTGCTTAACCTCTGAAACCCCAAATTCCAGATAGAACTGGCCTGCAGCAGAGTGACTTAGGCCTTTCTTTTCCTTCCTGTTAGAAGAAAACTTGTGAGCACTGTTACTGTGAGAGAAATAAACATTTGAGTGCAGCCTTTTGGAGAGTATTTTTGAAATACTGATACACTTTTGTATGATTATAGACAGAATGCTAAAACAAATGTTGTTTGAACTAGCCTCAAATGGTACACTCTGTGCATTTCTTTCACTTCTGTTGTCTTCATAGAAATTTGGCTAATGTGGAGGAGATTGGGATGTGTTCATACATTAACCATGTTATCACCATGACTACGTTATACATTCAACAGGTATGTGACTAACAATTCCCATCTGTTATTTTTGCCATCCGATACTTCCTGCTTCTGCTTATGCGATCTGCTTTTTCAGTAATAGTGTTTTGAACTGGCCAAAAACAACAGTTTTTCTCCAGTTTGTGGAGATCAAGATTAATTTTGAACTTCCAGAAATCTTCTGACCACAGCTTTCTCTTTTTCCTCAGTTAAAAAGCAAAACAAAAGAAAAAGAAGTGGCAGATCAGACCCCCATGGAAGAATTTGTGAGACATGCGTTGGCTTTTTGTGAAAGTCTCTACGATCCATATCGAAACTGGAGGCAGCGAATTGCAGGGTATGTGTGGACTATGACAGGATTATAAATAGTGCAGTTTATGATGACTTTAGCTAAACAATATGTAAAGTTTCTGATAGAACTACTGCTGTCTGATGTCAAACTAAAATAAAAAGTCGTTACATGTGTATTCTTCTGCTGTTGCATTTTACAACTGTTAGAAGTGATAGCCTTGAGCACTTGATACTGTGTTTTAGGTTTATTTTTTTCCCAAAGATACACTCTTCAGAGTATCATTCATGAAATAGTTTTTCTACCAAAATTAACATCATCAAGCAGGCATGCTTGAAACTGAACTTCATTGCCACCGAAGTTGTCAGAGTAATACATCCTGTTCCGTTCAGTGCAAAGCTGAGTTGTGAGGCTTTTTGAAAGGTGGGAAGTGTAGAAAGTCAGGAAATGGGCTTTCTGAAATGCTTAATATCTGTCATTCTAGGCACAGGCCCTGTTCTTTGAAATTGCTAGTGATTCACTTTATCTGCTATAACTGACTCTTCAGAGACGTCTTATAAATTTCTGAGAGGGATTTTTCATGTACAGTTCTCTCTTACTAGCCGCAAATTAATTACAATAATATTAAATATACCTGGTCTTGTACATTTAATGTATTTTTCTGCTGTGTTTACAAGGGCTGAAGTTGTTTGCTCCTTGCTGCTAATCATTCAGAGCTACTTTTCCTTTAAGTCCTCACTTTTATTTCTATTGGGACCATTTTGGCATGTGTCAAATATTGGAACTGTGCATGCAAATAACTAAAGCTGTAGAGAGTTCGTATCTCATGTTACCTAGTCTTGTAAAACCTCAGGTCCATTCTCACAGTATAGGTTCTGTAGAGGTAGCACAGCATTTGTGCTAGCTCTGTGACTTGCATTTGTGCAGTACTGTGCACACAGAGTGGGGATTGTGTAAGCTACTGGGGTTTCTTTGTAGCTCAAAACCTGCAGTATGCCGTAATACCGCATGAAGCTTTATGAGGCTGTTCTAGAAACAGAAGGTAGTATTCTCAATAACCTCTTGAATCGTTGTGCACAGAGTTTTAAGGAGCATGTAAGGATCACAATTTCTGGTATTTTTGTGCAACATGAGGATTCCCCTTTCCTAGGACAGAGCATGAATTGACACCACTTCTTACACATGGCCTGCCAGAGTACTGCTAAGCTGTTTTCAGATTCAGTGTAGGTCATGCCAGCACATCTCGTGGTATCTGAGTTAAAGTGTAAGTGCTCAAAATCAATGAATTTTTAACCAATGAAAGTGCAGAATTTGTCAATGAATCAATATAATCACACCATAGAAAAGTGTTATGCTTTCTGAAACTGGTTATAGTTTAAATATCTTTTAAAAATCACAACATATTTCCTGGCAGTCTAAAAGTTAAAACGAAATTAAATTTTAGGATGTACTGAGAGATGTTTGGTTGTAACTGACCAACATAAAGGTCCTTCCATGGCTTTCTTCTTTCAAAAACTGGCTCATTTTTCTAAACTCGTGGAACAAGGAAGCCAAAAGGAATGGGGTTGGCAGACCTGGTTGAATTAGGGCAAAATAAGTTATTGAAGATAACAGTATAGATATGTTGCATCTTTGAAGAGAAGTTTCTAAGTGTTATCAGTAGAATTATATCCCTTTAATTTGTTTCCCCCCCATAATGAATGCATAATAATGTTTTCTGCCCATTTCAAATTGCATGGTTAAGAAATTTGGCAGTCTAGCTGGTGGCTTAGTTACAGTAATGTCCTGGTTTCAGCCAGGATGGAGCTGGTTTTCTTCGCAGAGGCTGGTGCGGGACTGTGTTTTGGATTTGGGATGAGAAGCTGTTGATAGTGTGCTGATGTTTTGGGTTGCTGCTGAGCAGCCAAGGACAGTCCAGCTTCTTGTGCTGGCCTGCCAGCGAGCAGGCTGGGGGTGCACGGGGAGCTGGGAGGGGACACAGCCGGGACAGCTGACCCAGACTGGCCAAAGAGATATTCCCTACCATACGACGTCATGCCCAGTACATAAACTGGAGTTGGCCGGGGGGCGGGAATCGCTGCTCGGGGACGGGCTGTCGATCACGGGGGGGGGAGGAATTGCTGTATTGGGCATCACTTGTTCTTGTACATTCCTTTGTTGGTATTATCATTGTTGTTTCCTTCTTTTTTTTCCTGTCCTATGAAGCCCTGTTGATCGCAACCCGCCAGTTTTTTCCCAATTCTCTTCCCCGTCCCACTGCGGGAGGGGGAGTGAGCGAGCGGCTGCGCGGTGCTTAGTTGCCGGCTGGGGCTAAACCACGACAAGTAAGCAAGGACTAAGTAACAGATTGCTAGCTTCTTTTTTTAATTAAAAAACCCTAAACCATATTGTAAAAAGTTAAAGTATGTCTAGGAGCAGAACAGTAAATATGGGATTAGCTGCGATTCATTTTTTCAGGATGAAATACTATTTTACTGGTTTTTTTTGATCCTGCAGGCAAAAGATAACTCCTCATTTTTGGCAGTATTTTCTATTTTGAAGTCATAAATTAATAAGTCGTAAACAAAAATATCATACCTAATTTCTTTGATGTGTCTTTTTTAATGTAATTGCAGACGTTTCCTTAGTACAGTGGAAAAGAACAGACAGAAGTATAAACCAGCTTCCCTCACTGTTGAGTTTGTCCCTTTCTTTTACCGTGAGTATTATCAAGAGCATGTTTAAAAGTAGTCATCTTTGGCGGAGTGATCTTAGTGATTCCAAGTTCCTTTCCTCTAAGAATGCCTGATAAATATAAAAGCACCATACTTTCTTCCTGAGGCTGAATGAAGTGGGTTGCTCTGTTTGCTTGTTTTTTGCTCTGAGCATCACTATCTTGCCATTCCTACTCATCTTTTAAAGCCTGGGTTTTTTCAGACTTCCATTCAGTGCCTAATGTGGTTTAATAGGGTTGGTTCTGTGAATTGCCAACTTTCCCATTTACTAGGGTACATACAGTGATTGCACATAAGATCCCTGTAGCAACTGTAATGATAACTCCTATGGAAAAATAATTTTAGGAAAGTGTTCATGCATTTTTGTCTTTTAATATGATTTAACAGCTAGAAAGAAGGAAACTCTGTGCCATCTGACTGGCAAATGCGCCTTGGACTGCAGTTTGGGAAACTGCTCTGTTTCATCTCTGGTTAAGTCATTAAATATCATTATGACTACTTTGGAATTCATGTGTTCTTACTATTGCAGTTTGGCTGTGTGGAAAAGGAGGACTTACGTGGCCATGTTCTGTACTTAAGTCTTGGGAAGGTGGGATGCCCAGCTAGTTTGCCAGTTTAGCACACCAAAGTGCTAGTGCCAACAGAATTGAAGCAGCTAGTGCCAACAGAATTGTAGCAGCAGAAATGTTATGGACCGATGGGGATATGAGTGAAATCATCCCTTTTTGCACCTGTTAACTCAGCTTTAATGAAAAGTAATAAACGGAAGGTTCTATTCCTAGAGTGATAGCATTTATGAATTTGGTTTCTTTAGGTTTGAGTCACATACTCGTCTGTTCCTTGAGATTCCCTCTCTGTGTACATAAAATAGGCTATTTGCCAAAAAAATCAAAGAACTGATGCCAGTAAAATGCCATTATCTTTGTGCCAGAGCGCTGGAAGCCCACTCTAAAGGCTGCTACTGAGGAGTGTCATCTGCAGGTTCTCTCCTTCCCATTCAGCGCATTGCATTCTAATTCCTCCTAAATCCTTTAAATATTATATACTGTGACTGAGCTACAAGTGTACTAATTAGCTGGCAGATACTCATCTGCTGGTTGGCCAACTGTCAGGAAAGAGAGAACAAAAAATTGCTCAGCGTGTGCTTTAGACATTCAGCTATGGCAGCACTAATTTGATGCTTTTTTTGGTCTACCCAGCCTAATGATTTAGTCACAATCTACTAGGTACTGCTCTTTTGAATTTGTCTGAGGTTCCCCAAAAGATTCAGAGGCTATAAGTCAAGGGGGTGGTGGGACTAGCAGTCTAACAGTGTGAATATCTAAGCTTTGTTTCCTTTGAAGACCAGATTTAAAAAATAACTGTGCAATTTTCTTTTAAAACAGGCTCACACATTCAGTATATAGTCAGAAATCTTACTTGCCAATACTTGGTAATTTTCTTAAAGGTGTTAATATTATTTTAATGAATATAAAATTCTTGCATTTTCAGTTTCTATTGCTTGCTTAAAATCTCAGTTTTTACAAACCTAAGCCATTATCTGTTCTGTGTCAAAGTTATTGGAAGTTTTATGATGGTTAATTCCAAATAAAATAACCCTTTGTAGTTTGTTGCAGCTGCTCTGAGTCTAAGGTTATTGCTATAGAAACAATATCCAGGTTATATCTATTGCTAAGAAGAGATCATGAGGCTGTTTATAACTAGTTTATATCAGATATGGCATGAGAAGAGATGCAGTATAATTGTCTTTACAGAGACTACTGCTTAGAAAGGTTACAGACCTGCACAGACTTCCCTGGGAAGTTTGGCTTAAACAGAGCAAGCTCAGGGACTGTTTCTCTGAGCTACCTGCACTGCATATGGCATTAGACTTCTCTGTGCCAAAATTGCTCTAATCTTTGTCATGCTTGCTAACTGTTTGCCTGTTAGCACGTCCTTCTATTTCCCATTAGTATGGACAAAATGGGCTCATTTTACATGATGGATCAGATAAACAGTTGTATGTCTATAGTTCTGTCAGCCTACATGAAAAGCTTTATGGAAGCTGAAGGTTTGGGCCTGTGAATTCCTGATAAATGTGATCTTGTCATGTTACTTTGATAATGTTGGAATTAATGCGTTTGTGTCTGATTTATGTAAAAGACAGTGGAGATTATATAGTTGAAATTCTTTTAACATTTGCATGATGACAGGGAGTAGAGGAGCTTTTCTTATTACTTCATTAGTTGGTGGGTTTTTTGAGAGGAAAAACTTTGTATAACTTGTTTGACCAAAGTAAGGAATATTTCTCCTTTTTATTTACTCCAATCAGAATGCTTTCAAGAAAGTGAACATCTCAAAGAAAGCCTAAAATGTTGCCTGCTACATCTCTTTGGAGCTATTGTGGCTGGTGGTCAGGTAAGGATGCTCTAAACTCTTCAGCTGCTGAAGCCTCCAAATGCCTGTTCATTGTTTAAGGCTTATAGATACACCATAACCCATAAATGAGAAGAATTTATTATTGACTATGAATTGTTTGTTTGTCTTATAAAGTTTGGGGTCAAAAGCTAGGTCCTGCTTTCAAATCGCAGTAGAAGTTTGCTGTCTTCAGTAAGTACATATTCATATGAACTTACTGTAATATTTTTGTGTCATACAGAAAAAATGTGGGTACCTAGATTAGAAGTTTCCACCTGCCAAGATGGAAGTTTTGTATTAACACATGAAATTCATCTAGCTTGCTTCCCAGTGTTGGAAGTAAAACGTTTTAGTAAGAGGCACAAGGCCTTTAAATAGCTGGGAAGCTATTTAAAATCTTTGAAAGAACGTGAAGAAAAGAGGATGTTGATCATCAGCAAAGTCAATATCCACTCTCTTGGCTGACTTCTGTAATGTGCTATTTAGTCTGGTCACAAGCAAACGTTACTTCTGATGATCTAGAAGAGAAAGCATTTTTAAATGTTGTCAGGGAGCAGCAAAGCTAGACAGTGCTCTACCAGGGAAGGCAAGCTGAGACTGAGCATGATGACCAGGCAGGCAGAGGCAGTTGACCTCACTGGCAAAAGGTGAAGTCTCACTCACTATGCCTGAACAAGGTGATGAGAGTGGGTCTGGTGGTAGTAACCAGGATCAGGCAGCCCAGATCACCAGACAAGTCTGTAGTGATGAAGCCTGAGATCAAGCCAGGAAGTCTGGTCAGCACATCAGGGTGGGGATTTGGTCTAGTGATGGTAACTAAGGTCAGTCAAGAGGCTGGTGGTTGCCAGGCACATCCATAGTGATGTGGCAAGTCTAAGGTCAAGCCGGGCCGTCAAGTCTGTGGGTCAGGTTCAAGACAGTAAATGGCCAGGCATGGACATGGCTGCAGTATAGCTCAGGCAGGTAAAAGGTTGAGAGCTGCAGCTTGAATGCAGCTCCCTAGAGAAGGCAGGAAGTCCTTGACAAGGCTTGTCAAAGCTTCTATGAGGCTGGGCTCATAAGCCTATGCAATCAGACCTCCTGGAAGAGAGGTGAGGGAAATGCACTCAGGGTGCAGACAAATGTTTGCTAATTACTGTGTTCTTTTCAAAAATTTTATAGTATGAATCTTGTGATCTAAAATGAAAATTCAAGTGAAGGTTTACCTAGAATTAGCAGTTTATCAAGGCTACCTTATAAGAATTTTGTAACATTATATGTTATATCAATGCACATATATGCATTTAAATTAGATTTCCTTTTCCCTGTAAGCATTCTCTTTGGAAAAGAAAGCCTAGATAAGTGAACAAGGTGGCATGCATTTCATCTGTAGCCATCAATATAATCCAAGTAGAATGTTTCATATTTATTTAACAATTACAGGGCATTAACAGACATAATAATGCATATTGCATGATTTGGATAAGTCAGATAAAAACTGCTGGTTTGAAGAGGTTTGATTTTATTCATATATTTATTTATTTGTTGTTATTTTTTCCTTAATCACTTCTTCCCCCGTGGGTTTCAGAGGAATGCTCTTCAGGCAGTATCTCCTGCCACAATGGAAGTCTTGATGCGAGTTTTAGCAGACTGTGACAACTGGGATGACAGGAACCCCGAGGAAGTGAGCAGGAAGGCAGAGCTGACTCTGAAGTGCCTGACAGAAGTTGTCCATATCCTTCTAACCAGCAGTTCTGACCAGCGGCAAGTGGAGACGAGTACAATATTGGAGAACTATTTCAAGTTGCTTAATTCAGACCATTCAGCTTTACCTAATCCAAGGCGATGCAGGCAGTGGGAGAGCAGGTTCATAGCACTACAGATCCAAATGCTGAGTGAGTACCCAATTGTGCAGTTCCTTTAAATATCTCTTGATAATAGCGCCAAAGCAAGTAATGGTTGAACCATGATAGTAATATAACTGAATGTTCTACCAAAAAAGTTCACTTGGCCAAGCAATTGAAAAATTTCAAGCATTTCTTCATTGACATTACTCTAAATGCAATCTCGTTTAATCATTCACTACAAAAGAAACGGAAGAAACCATATCTGATTGCTACCATTTAATCAGAGTGTCAAGGTTCACAGACTGCCAGTCTCTGTCCAAAAAAAAAAAAAAAACCCAAACCAAAAACCAACCAAGCAACCAACCACAAAAACAAAACAAAAAAAACCCCAAAACAAAGCCAAACACTTTTGCAGCTGACACTCATCAGCACCTTAATAATTGCAGAGTAAGATGGGTCTGTAGTAAAATACCCGTATGTTGGCTGTTTTGTGATATTTTCAGATAGCATTATTGTAAACATTGACCAAAGGTGATGGACTGAAACAGGTTTAAGTCACTGGATAAGAATTCAGGTTTTGGAGTGTTTTTGCATTTTGTTCAGAGTGGGAAATACAAATAAAGGTGTTTCTTTTCCCAAACTTCCAATAAAACTGAGGGATAGTACTGAGGTGATGAAGAATGCTTACAGTAGAAGACTGCTGTGGAATGCAGAGTAATTGCTTGATGAGGAAGCAAGTGTTTGTGTGCTCTAAATAAAAGGCATGATGCTTATGTACTCACAAATGGCAATGACTTAGAGCCCAAAAGCAATCAAAGATCTTTGGTAGCTGAATTTTCTCCAGATACAGTGGGTTACGTGATAATTTTTACAACATCAGAATGTTTAGCTTTAGGCCTAGTGCTTTGTGCTTAAAACACACATCATTCTTGACCGAAGAATTCACAGCATATAGTTTGTTGTATAATTTTTTACCCATGTTTATTATGTAATGTTCTGCACAAAAAAAATGCTTGATGGATTTGGGAAGTGTTTTGTCTTTGATGCCAGTTCTGTTTTAATTTTATAGATACCATCACAGCCATGTTAGACTGCACAGATAGGCCTGTTCTGCAGGCAATTTTCCTTAACAGTAACTGCTTTGAACATCTCATTCGACTGTTGCAGAACTGCAAGGTAAATTTTCCCTTATCAGCATACTTCTAACAAAACCTGTCTTGTAATATTGCAAGAACATTAATTACCTTTATATCATCCTTTTGAATTAGATGCAATTTTATAGTGTCTACATACCAAAAGTAAAACTTTGGACCGGTTAGAGCTACTAATGCCATGAACGATCTGAAAGACCCAAGTTGCTCTAAAATCTTTTTTATTCCTAATGAGGTAGAGGTGTTTCTTGTCTGTTTTGTGGTTAAAGCAGTGAATGCTTATTTTGAGTCCTAAGCAAAATACTTTTACAGACTCTACTTGGTCTCTAAAATCTGCTAAGTTTGTTACTGGAATCAATTCCTGCCCCCTTTTTGGGTTTTTTTGGGGGTGGGCGCGTGGGGGTGGGTGTGGTTTATGTTCTGTCACTGGATTACTAGGAAGTCACTTACAACTGCTGCCAGATGGAGGTCTGAATTCTAATTTCAGAGGCGTATTTTTCCATCTAACGAAACCTTGCTGGTGTGCCTTTGTAAGTGTTGAAAAATATTTGAATCTCTTGTAGCTGACATGTAACAGCTTGAGCTCATGTTTTAAATGTTGATTGTTCTCCTTCTACATAGGATTTAGAGTTTACATAGATGTTGTGTTTTCATCTCAATCGTAGATAGTCATAATTTGCAAACTAGGGTCTTCCATTAATTGCTTTGTAGATTTCTTTCTTCCCCTGTGGAAAAGAACATAGATATGATGTAACTCTGTGGAATATTTTATTTTTATTTTTGTGATGTGTTGGTGGCATAGGTATTTTGAGTTCTTTTAATGCTAGATAATTTAGTGCTGGCTACAGTATGCGATTTGATTCAAATCCATTTAGATTTTGGATTAGAACATATTTCAGTGCAGTGATATATTAAAAATAAACGTGTTTGGATTACGTCTTAACTGTAGTTGTAATCAGTGGCTTAATGCCAACTGACTTGAAGTGTTTTGAATAGTGTTGGTAGTTTTTTATCTCCTGAAAAGACATTGTTTGACCTTTCTATTTTCCTCCTCTGGGAATCTGTGCTTATTCTTGTACTGACCTTGTAGTCTTAAGAAATTTCTGTTTTAGTTTCTTCTCAAATCATCAAGCAGTGTAATGTTTACCTGTTCATAGAGACTCTAGTTATGTCCCTGCTCTCATATAAACAAGTGGTAGAATTTAAGAAAGCAGGAACAGCTACTCTACTTCTGCAGCTTGCTCCTTTTACTTTTATTTTTATTCTGCCTATATGTGTGTCATAAGATATGCTCTTTTGAGGTGTTTTTCCTGTGATACAGTCTCACATATTACTATGATTGATTTGATATCGATGCTGCCAGTATGCTACATAGTGGTTTTTTAGCCTTTCAGAGTCAAAATACCCCCAAGAATGAGAAGCAGGGAGAGGGTGGAGGCTGGGAAGGTGTTGTATATTTGTATTTTCCAATATACTGTCTCTCCGTTCTTTTTCAAAGCCAAATAGCAATGATGAATTTAGCTGTGGAATGAGTATTTCTCTATTAACTGAGAGGTGGAGACCTTATTTCTAGACGTTTTTTCTTTACCTATGAAAATCTTGCTGCTGGATTCACCAGCAAGCTGTGTAAAGCATAGTTCTGCAGCTCTGCAGACACCAGCAGAGTCCAGACACGTACCTGAAACGCAGGAAGCTATTGTATCTTTAGCAAATTTGAAGTGCAGGAAGTTTCCATGGAAAGAAGGGGTGAAGAAAATTCATACCACTATTTCTCCTGTAGGTATCCCAAAGAACTTGGGGTATTCAAGGCCATACTTTTAGTCATACTTCTTAGTCATTTGCAGTCCAACAGTCTTCTAAAATTTAATTTATTTTTTTTTTTAATATTTACTGGTTTTAAGCCTTATGGGCAAACTGTCTTCCCCTAACTATGCTCTAGGGTTGGACATCTGCACAAAAGCTAGAAGTATCAGGAGGTGCTTACCCTATACGGAGAATCGTTTAAAAAGCTGCTTTGCTGGTCCTGAATCTTTTCTCATCTATTTAAACTCTCTTAGAGGTCAGACTTTGAGCAAAGCACAATGACATTTGGCAGTATGCCTGGTTAAAAAAAATATTATTTTCTGAACAGCTTTTAAATAGAAGAATTACAACCATATGGACTTCATAATAAAAATATGTTTTTCGCTTTTACATTGTATTCTCAGAATTGAAGTAACCCATATGAAAAATTTGGCTTTTTTTTTCTTGCATCTCTCCATTTTTAATTCTGTATTCTTTTTATTTCCACTTGTTAATGTTATAACCCTCTGAGGCATATTATAGTTATTCTGCAGTGTTACATTCTCTTGACTGTCATATACCTTTCAAAATTACTTGTGTTTCTAACTATGTGCTTTTACACCTGTGTAAGTCAAAGTAATATCGTGTTTTCCTTCTGTTTGCCCTATGGAAGTTGATTTCTCAGGTTGTTCCTCTTCAGAGAGACTGCCTAGCAGATAATGGAACGAAATGTATGAGGGGAAAAAAAAAAGGGACAAATTGGGGATCTTTTTTAAACGCCTCAACAGAATCCAAAACCAGAAGAAGATAAATTTTAGTTCTGAGTAGGTTACAGCTAAACTTTGCACACAAAGTGACTGCAATCGATTATGAAGATATTTTGATGAGCTTTAAACTTGCAAATTCAAGGACTGACTGGGAATCCAGCTACCACACACAGAGCAGTTACTTAGGTGAAGGTGCAGTATAGGCCTATGCTTGATGTAAAGCTGTTTACAACCTCATTCTTAGGATCATGGCAGAGATATTTTACACTTCCTCCTCTCCTAAAGGCTACGTGCCCCAGAAATCTGCTGTTGTTGCTGTTTGAAGATTAAAGTATTCTGTCTAGGTATCTTCAGGTTTCACCTAGGATGAAACATAAGTAGAAAATAGTGAAACATCTGTAACTGTTTCTTTGCTAATGTCCTACTGTTGTCTTTACTACTTATAAGTAAATTTTTGAGAACCTCCTGTCATTGCATATTGTAAATGAAATCATAGTTGCTCAGCCAGTGACCGGTGCAAATTCCAGATAGATCTGTTTCCTTGTCTGAGCAATTACATATTTTCATTTAATTCTGGGGGGGTGGAAAAAGCAATTACTATTTAGCAAAAATATAATGTAATTTTCAGTATTGTAGGAATTAACAGAAGACTAATATTGATGGAGAATTGTGTCTCACCAGTGTGAGAACTTTTTCTTTTTTGTATGTGAAATACAAATCCAATGCAGCCTCCACAGGTTTGGCTGTAGGTAACTGTTTAATGCAATCATTTCCATTATTCTTGTCTCTGTTTCTAACAGCTATTTTTAAATGCTAACAATAAAGTGGCAGACAAGCGTGAGAAAGACCTTACGAACAAATTACTGACAGAAATGAATGAGGACCAGGTACCTACCTAACCTGTATTTTGCTTCAGTTGAAGTCAAGACACAATCACAGGAAAATTGATTCCTGTGCTTCACCTTAACCACCCTCTTTAACCCTTCTGCAGCAAGATGATACAGCTGCACACATCACTATTTCCTGACTCTGGAAAACAATTTTTCTGAATAACAGGCTGAATTCAACCTCAGTTTTATTCATCCGCTTCAAATTGCAGATATTTGCAATAGATTGAGCCTCAGTTATGCTTCTTTTGAGGAAAAGGTGAAGTACATGAATGGAATCGAAATAAATTCTATCAACCTGGTGGTGATTTTTTTTCCCCTCCCTTTCCTCTTTTTTGCTTCCTTGTCTGAGCACTGCGGTGTTTCGGATTCTGGGGCCTTGTTTGTGAATCTCAATGGTTGTATTTGATGTCCTGATTCCTTGCTTGTCATCAAGAACAGATGTTCACAAAACAATGGACAGGCTGAATCAGGGAGGTAGGAATAGCCTGTTGCTTTAATTTTCTCAAAATATTGTGGAAAGATTCAAATGCAAATAGTTGTGGTATTAATTTTATAGTAGAAATATTTCTTCTGATTAAAAAATGTAATGAAATGCTAAATACAAGGCATGATAATCCGTAACTTGTGGTTCTAGCTAATAGCTTTGGCTTTTTTAGAAACTCAGTGCAACACTAACCACATGTAAACGTTTCTTCACATCTAATAGAGTCTTCTGATACTTGACATTTCATTTTCAAAATATGTCTGATACGCATACAGTATTTCAGAGATGACGAGACAGAGTACGTACGTTTGCACATTTTTGCTAACTAGGTTTGCTGGTGGATGTGAAATAGTACTCCAACATTTTTGTCCTTAAAACTACCATAGAACTATCAATCTAAACAAGAATTATAGGGGGGGGAAAAAATCAAGTGATGACTTAAAGTGGAAAAAGAGATGTTGATGAATGCGATGAGGCTATGTGTGAGGCAGCCACCTTAATGTGCTGGTGTGACTTACCTCTTACAATTTGTGTGTGTGTATTGCATTGGCATGTAGAGACTTAGATGGAGAAGAAAACACTTTGTATGAACTGCAGGTGCCTGTTTGTCCAGCAGTGCGCGCGCACACACACACACACACACACTGCAAGAGGTTTCCTAATTTGTTTTCCTCCCTCCCTCTTGAGGTTGTCCATTAGCCGCATGAGGAAAACCTGTTTGTTGATCAGAATATTTGAAGTGCAATGTGTGTTGTGAATGCTTCTCTCCTCTTGAAGTATGTGGCTGTTTGTCTACTGTTATATAATTCCTTCTAAGCCATGGGGTTATGAAATCTTGGCTGGTGGGGAGGTGATTTTTGAAGCATGTTAGCAAACTCTTTGTTTCCCTCCTGACAGGAGAGGACAGTATAGATTTTGGAGCTGAACTGTCATTGCACATTTGTATATAACTTTTGTACCTGCTACTTTCAGGTGTTTCAGGGACACCTAGACTGCTTGGCAGTATCAACCATTCAAGCCCTCACAGCAGTAATGCACAAGTCTCCAGCTGCTAAGGTAACAGTATATATGCAGAGGTCTGTTTGCAGTAGGCTTCTTGATCTTGTTTCCAGTTAGTGTTTTTTTAATCACGGTATCTTCATGCATCTTGCTAATGAAGATGAGCACATTGTGGTCACACATTCCTGTCGGATAGGAATAGCTGATTAGCATCCCTTACCCCTTTATAAGTGTCTAATGGCTGGACACTGAGCCATGTTTTCATCAAAACTGGAAGATCGGAGTGTTAATGGCTGTTGGAACCTTTGTAAAGTAAGTACATTGTTACTTGTCCCATGAATATGTGGGGCAGAAATAATAAATATTTGCAGGAATTTTCAGGCAGGAGTTCGTGTTGTGGTTTTATCATGGCTTAACCATCCTTTTTACCTTAATCGTAACGGTTTGTTCAGATGGTGGTCTTGCTGTTCCCCTGCCCTTCCTTTGTAGTTATTCTTGTAGTTTGGTAAATGGATAGGTTGTGGTTAGTTTGTGAATCTGACTGGAAGCTAAGCCCACAGAAAAATCATGTATTTATTCTTAGATTGCTGAGTTCATTAGATTCACCCCGTGGTTGAATGACTCCCTAGTCTTGGCGCGGGAAAGGGATGTGGCTGCACGGTGGGGGCTGAAGGAAGAGAGAGTGTCATATGATTTGGTTGCTACTTGTGGTACAGTCTGAGTGAGAAATGACAGGGTCAGTTATGCTTCTTCAGTGCATTACTCAGTGCTTATTTTTCCACTGACTCTGGAAAGCCTGGGAAGAATTCTGTGTTGGAGGTAGGGACTGGCTGTGATTCACAAAGGGTCAGTAAAGTTTTCAATTTTACTTCCACTGAAACATTTTTTTTTCTTTCCATATTTACTTAAATGATCATCTCACTTTTGCTGAGAGCTTCATCCTTTAAAAAAAAAAAAAGGTCTTAATTTCAGTGCAGAATACAGCCAGAAGAGTATCCATTCCATACAATGTGTTGGCTGCTTACTAACTAACCATAAATGGATCCCACATTTCAGATTTTACTGCTTGATTATCTTTTTTTTTTCTTCATGTAAAATCAATTAGTCTTCAGAAAAAACTTCCTTGGAACACAATTTTTGAAGTGTTTAGGATGGGCAATCTTTAATCAAGCTGGTCTAGGAAAAATCTTTCACTCAAAAATTAATATTTGAACACTTGTAATTCTCAATATAATCACTTCATTTCATGCTATAATTTGCATTTAAAAATAAAGCTATTAGTATTTTGTGATAGAATTAACATTGTGATTATACCAAACCAATTGTATTCTTGTATAGGTAATTATTAAAATATAACTTTAATCTTTTATTTGTTTATCTGCATGCTGCAGTGAGATCCTTCTCATCTGCAGCTTGCTAGAGATAGCACAGTGGACATATTTTCAAAAAGAGATTTCTGTTCTGTAAAAAGTTCTTCTAGCATTCTAATTATTTTGTGTCTAATATTGTGTTATATTAGAACCTGCTACATTAGACAGTCCATTTTTGTCCATTTTGTTTGTTAGTGAGACTGGGATTTTTATCCTCAGGAGGTCTTCAAGGAGAGGATTGGTTATGCACACATATATGAGGTACTAAAATCGCTGGGTCAGCCCTCACGGGAATTGCTGGAAGAACTCATGAATATGGTGAGATGTGCTGGCTTTGAATGCTAAAATGCTTGCATCTTCTCAACAGTATTTCTAGCCCTATTTCACATCTGAGTTCTTTGCTGTTTTTCAGGCTGTTGAAGGTGACCACATGGCTGTTGGGATACTAGGCATTAGTAATGTCCAGCCCTTATTGCTGCTTATCCAGTGGCTTCCAGAACTAGAATCACATGACCTGCAGATTTTCATCTCAAATTGGTTGAGGCGAATCTGCTGTATTAACAGACAGAGTCGTGCCTCGTGTGTCAATGCGAACATGGTCATCCGTATCATTGAGACACTAAATTCCCATTCCTTGCTCCATTGTACATGTGCAGAGAACCTGATTGCTCTTCTGGGCTCCTTGGGGAGCCAGTCAATGGGCTCAGAAGAACTGCTTCAACTAATACGGCTCCTGAGGACTGAGGAACCAAAACGAGCTCACCCTTACGTTGTTCCAGTGATGCGAGCCATTCTGGCAATGGCCCGGAAGCAGGGCATGGCTAGTGCCTTGCAGTATTTCAACTTGTACCACAGCATGGCTGGAATTGCTGTTCCATCAATTCATAAGTGGCCAGGCTCTGCATTTTCTTTCAACGCTTGGCTCTGCCTTGACCAGGACCGGGTGGACCTGAGCACGACTAGCAAAAGCGGCAAGAGGAAGCAACTCTATAGGTATAGTTATTATAACTACTTAACAGCAATCTAGGTCATCTGTTCCCTCTGGCATATGGTACCCTATGACATGTGGTACTTCTGCTTATCTTCATAGAATGTCATATATAGTGCTTGGTTTGTGAAAGGGAGCAGTTTCATCTGTCACCAGAGCCAGGCTGTTATTGAAATAAACATGTAGTTTCTCAGTTGTAAAACTTTCTTGTCTACAGCTTCAGTATCCATAACTGCAAATTGTGGTAAGGTTCATAGCTTAAATAAACATAACAACACAAAAAAACCCCTAAAAATCAACCAACCCAAAAACCCCACCCCAAAACAGACCAGCTTTCCCACTGTTTCCTGTAAAGGTAATGAAATCTGTTTTCTATATGAGAGCACAATGAAAAGGCACCTTCATTCGCTTAAATAGTAGTCGTTGACATAGGTGGTTCTTACTATACTTTAACTTTCTGGGTACTAATGTTCAGCAGCAAACAAAATGCAGAATGAGAGAATGCTAGTTGAAGAGTCTCTCCCTCCCATCAGTCCATTTTACTGCACTGCGGGTTCAGGGGAAATGTTGAAGAATGCAATTCTAGTTGTAACATAATTCGTATTTTCCTGTGTCTTAGTTTTACTTCTGTTTATTAATAACCATGGTGGCAGGTGGAGGCCTCTTGGATTTCTGTGCCTGCCCTGTGTATTTGTATAGTATAGCTGTGATGAAAAGTGATGGTGAAAGGGGCCACCTGATGAACTGTCACAGCACTGTTTCCGGTGTTTGTTGGTGTGTCCCACTAAAGGTCTTCAGTAGACTGTAGTTGTAGAAAACTGGGGTGGAATTGCACTACAAAGTAAAAAAGCTGCAATTGGATTTCAGTGTGATGCTATTATACCAGTAACTGGCTGGTTTTCTGTCATTTTACGTACAATTTTGAAGACATTATGCTAGTTTTGGGAAACTAAAACAATGTATTGAAATTAATACAAAAAAGGAATTGTTTAAAATTCCAGTTTCACCTTGAAATGTTAAGCACACAACTGAATTGAAATAATAAAAAATTGATCTAGCTGCTATGTTTTACAGTGTGTAATTGTAAGACAGCTTATGTCTGTTGAGATTGTCTATAATATTAATGCTTTCTGTGTGTTTTATATTGATAGATGCAGGTATTTGATAGTACAGTAGTTAATGCGTCCACTTGGAATAATGGTGCCTAAGGGCGTGTAGCAGCTTTTGATAGCAGCTCACAATTTAAATCTAATTTTTTGTATTCAAGTGCTTAAAAAATGAAAGATTTCTCAAGGCAAACCTGTACTTGCAGGGCTTATCTATAGATAGCTGCTTACAGCCAATTTTCATCATTAATGTGAGTGAAATAAGATATATAACAATGACTCCATTTACATTTTGTGCTAAGGTAAGGTTCTTGCTGCTAGATAATCATGGATGACACATTGTCTCATCAAACAGCTTTAATGCAAAATTGTCTGTAAAATTCTGCATTTTCTAGAAGAGTTATTCTATATGTTGTTTTGGTCTTTAAATTAAATCTCTGTGTACAATGCTATGATATTAAACAGGGGAAATGGAAAAAAACATACCTACTAACTGTAACTAATGTCACGAATCTGCATGCAATATTGTCAGCTTTACCAGGGGCTGATGGACACCATTTAATTGACAGAAAACAGCACAGGTTGCATGCCAATCTCTTCTTTATTACAATATTGGAGCTCCTAGAGACTACGCCAGGCAGGATTTTGTAACAGAACCAGCTTAAGCTGTGTGCATCAAACTGAAGCATTACTTGCTGGGACCGAGGTTATGTTCTTATGTAAAAGATGGATGGCTACAAGCTGCTTTGAGAGTGTAGGTACGAAGGCTTTACAGAGGGATCTGGACAGGCTGGATTGATGGGCCGAGGCCAACTGTATGAAGTTCTACAAGGCCAAGTGCCAGGTCCTGCACTTTGGTCACAACAGCCCCATGTGACACTACAGGCTTGAGGAAGAGTGGCTGGAGAGCTGCCTGGTGGAAAAGGACCTGGGTGTGTTGGTCGGCAACCAGCTGAATATGAGCTGGCAGTGTGTCCAGGTGGCGAAGGTGGCCAACAGCATCCTGGCTTGTATCAGAAACAGTGTGGCCAGCAGGACTAGGGAAGTGATAATCTCCCTGCACTTGGCACTGGTGCGGCTGCACCTTGAATCCTGTGTTCAGTTTTGGGCCCCTCACTACAAGACGGACATTGAGGTGCTGGAGCGTGTCCAGAGAAGAGCGGGAAAGCTGGTGAAGGGTCTAGAGCACAAACCTTATGAGGAGCGGCTGAGGGAGCTGGGGTTGTTTAGCCTGGAGAAGAGGAGGCTGAGGGGAGACCTTATCGCTCTCTACAGCTACCTGAAAGAGGGTTGTAGTGAGGTGGGCGTCGGTCTCTTCTCCCAAGTAACAAGATAGGACAAGAGGACATGGCCTCAAGTTGCACCAGGGGAGGTTTAGGTTGAATATTAAAAAAAAATTCTTCACTGAAAGGGTTGTCAAGCATTGGAACAGGTTGTCCAGGGAAGTGGTTGAGTCACCATCCTTGGGGGTATTTAAAAGACATGTAGGTGTGGTGCTTAGGGACATGATTTAGTGGTGGACTTGGCAGTGTTAGGTTAACAGCTGGACTCGATGATCTTAAAGGTCTTCTCCAACCTAAACAATTCTATGATTCTTTCTGGATCATCTTTTGGCCTATATGTCCTGTGCCTTGGGGTCCCTTCCTTGAGGCAGTTCTTTGTCTTGTTTTTTTGGGGACAAGAGTAATAGCTAGTCAAATAGTAAATATTTGGCCAGTGGCAAACGGCTTAAGTTGGTTCTCTCCTTAATGAATGTACTGTTAGGTGTCTTCCAATAGTTTTGAAGAAGCAAGTCCCTGATTATGTGTTTTGTTGTCTTTTTCTGTAGCTTTTTTACAGGAAGTGGTATGGGTTTTGAAGCATTTATTACATACTCTGGGATATTGGTGGTTGCAGTTTGCACAAAGAGGGAATATGCAACAGTGATGCTGCCTGACCATTGTTTTTTTGACTCTCTCTGGGTAAGATTTGATACAGAAAAATGCTTTGTTTAGGATAGCGCTGTTAGCTCAGAAGTCAAAGTTCATTTTTTTGGTTGTTTTTACAAACTGTTTTATCATATTTAAATAAATAATTGCATAAGAACAGATCTAAGCTTAAATAATACAAGCAATTTCCATGTAGGTTAGTGGTCGATTGACTTAAATTATGCCTATGTTATTAGGCATTTGTTATTGATAAGCTGGGTACAGCATTGTGCTTAGAGATTTTTTTAACATGCAGATTTTTTTATATTAAATTACAACAAGCATACATGGCTGTGCTGCTGTGTGAATAAATAAAATGTGCTACTGTGTTTCTGCCTTACCCTTTTCTATTCCCGTACTTCAGGACAGATGTGCATTATCATGGA